AAAAAAATAAACATTTCCATTTGTTTTGTAAGTTTGGTCTGAGTTCTTGATGCTTTTACAACGTTTTCACCAGCAGGTATCACCAGCATGTGCTGTTTCAAGTGCTTCCAAACATTGAATCATTTTTCGAAGCAATTGGTTCAGTTGATTCAATGCTTCGAAAAGCTTTGTTTCTCCCATCACTAAATGTAGGCAGGTTTCATAAAAAAAAAGCAGCATTTTGAGTAAAAAGCTGAGAAAATCGCATTTTTAGCAAATACTACATCTGGATCATATTCAGTAAGATGATCGAAGCAAAGATGCAACAGATGGCTTCCGTCAGCACCCCCAAAGCTTGCACAGTCATTATTCACTTCCTGGAGTGACATTTCACTTGCTAACATTAGGCAGTTCCCTCTCTTACACCAAATACACCAAATAATGTTCTTTTTAGCAGCATCATATGACCCCTTTAATTGATCTTTTATTATTGTTTAGATGTGAATGGAAAAGCAGCTGCTCCATATTAGCCTCCAACAGTGTCTTCTCGGATCCATGTTTCGGCACATTCAAGTACCTGTACATCTCATACTCCTGCGTGTCTAAGTGTAAGTGTTACTGTATTGAGAAATTATACTGCATAATTTTCTAATGTGTTGATTAGTTCTGGTTTGGTTTTACTCATTAACTCACTCATCAGGCTAGACTGATAAGCTTACATTACTGTTAATGTTTTTTGGCAGAGAACAACAGCTGATCTTGTGGATTTGGCCTCTTCAATTCAATCAGCATCCCCTCCACTTTAAATGCGCTGAAACAAATCTATTTCTTAATGGTTAACGCATCTATTAAATGGTATTTGCCGTTTTTCTTCTTGTAAAGATATGGCAAAAGGGTAATGGTAGAACACTGCTGATCCGATTTCACTCTTTTTTGTGCGAATGAAGTGGCTTTGATTTAATTTTTCTATAGACCTTGCTTGTACACTATGTTGTGGGATTTTCCTTACAATAAACGCTTTTGCCTATTATGATTTGTGCCTATTGTTCTTAAAGCATGTTGATTGTAAACACCTTAACATCATTTACCAAGTTTTAGGATAAAGAATACATCAGGGTATACATTGTTAATTTATTACCGACATTGTAACAATGCAATGCTGGTTATCCTTATCCTTTAACATATCAAGTGCAAATAATTGCACAAACCAACTTATCTTTCATTCACTGAGAAAAATTATATGCTAAGAAAACCTTATGGTGCAACCTCACGAACCTTTTTATATTTGCCAGCTGTAATTCACAGCAGTTTGGGGTTAGTCAATTTAAAATAACGTTTTTTTTTTATTTTTTTTTTATGAACATATTTTAAAATGTCTTTTTTTTCCTGATGCAAAGCTGAATTTTCAGCATCATAACTCCTGTATTCAGTGTCGCATAATCCTTCAGAAATCATTCAGAATACTGATTTGCAGCTCAAGAAACATTTTCTTATTATCAGTGTTGAAAACAGTTGTGCAATTTTTTAATTACTTTTTTCTTTGATGAACAGAAAGTTCAAAAGAACAGCATTTATTGGAAATAGAAATCTTTTGCAACATTATAAATCTCGTTAGTTACATTTGATCAATGAAATGCATCGTTTAATAAAAGTAATAATTTCCTAAAAATCAACCAAACAATCAGTTAATCTTACTGGACCCCAGTCTTTTGAACATTAGTATTCTGCCCAACTAGTGGCAAAATTATGGTACTTCTCAAACAAGCTGTTCTGACTTAAAAAAAAAAAAAAAAGTCTAACCTCATTTGTTTGCATTGTAGGGCTATATAACCCTATATGTATTTATGTACTTCGATGTATTATTAACATAGTATGTCAAAGCAGAGCACAATCAGCTTGTAACACTCCAAAGAGAAAGGAAAACTTGAAATCGCATCATATGACCCCTTTAAAAGCTAGCTTTACTCATTCAAGTTAATACCATTTAAATTAGTTCAAAATACTTTAGTGTTGTCTTTAAAATTAATGTTTAAAAATGTCACTGCTTGTTTAAGAATATGACATGAATGAAAACACAGCTTAAGCAGCACAGAATTGAACAAGAAAGCAGAGATGTCAGACTTACTCTGTATTTGGTGAAAATAAACTGCCAGTTTAATAACCATACAATAAAACCTGTAAATACCGATGAATTATACTAAAAAAAAAATATGATCGTAACAAAAACAAAAAAAGAGGATGAAAAATGCACAACCAGCTAAAGTGGAACAAAGGGATTTATCAAGAAGGAAAATTAGAGTTCACAACCCCGATCCCCAATACACTCACTCTCACTTTCAAACACACACACACAGTTACTCTCCGTTAGCAGCACACACACTCTTACAGTCACCCAGACATGCATAAAGGACAGGGTTTGATAATCAGTACACGTTAAATTCACAAACAAAATGACTGGACCTGCTCTAATGTCAGCATGTCACCCTGTGAGCCACCCCCACCCCCATCCCAGCCACGGGGGCTTCGCTGAGCGTCTTCCTGCGGGTGCTGATCATCGTTCAGAAGGTACGGGGGAGCGGGGCTGGGAACTGGATTTTGAGAGGGGTGGGTGCTGTAGGGTGGAATGAGGTGGGAGGGTTGGTGGAAGCCATTTGTGTATTTAAGGTGGATGTGTGGGTGTTTGGAGATCAGTGCGGCTCCCCTAGTTCTCGTTGTCGCCTGCTTCGTCGCCCTGGTTTTCTGACGTCCAAAGCTGCAGGTATGAGAATTAATATAATGTATGAGCCAATAAAGCACTGAAACAGAAATAACACTGGTGCAGAATGTATGATGGAGGACTTACAGTGAGGTTGTCCCTTAGAAGCTGCTGCAGAATGTATGATGGAGGACTTACAGTGAGGTTGTCCCGTAGAAGCATCATGATCAAGGTGCTGTCTTTGTAGGAGTCCTCATTTAAAGTGTCAAGCTCAGCAATGGCTTCATCAAAAGCCTGTAAGAGAGGCTCTGGTTTCTCATTTGGTTGAATGAGCATCAAATACACTGGTGCTTGTATTGTAACAATGTTTACTGTAGTCAAGATTTGCAAAGAAATAAAATACACATTTATATGATGAAGTGTAAGAGGCTGTCCACATAGGACACATTCTCGTTTTTTATGGTTTTATATGTACACATGCACTAGATGGGCATCTTTGGCGACTGTACCATCTCTCAATACTTGGCAAGTTAAAATCAGTTGAATTTCTATAAACAAGTCTCTGTCTAAATTTGGTTAAATGCAAGAACTCGTCCTGTGTGAATGGCCCCTTATGTTGCTAGCGTTTAAAGAGATACCAACCGTCTTAGCGAGTTGACAGGCATTCTCAGGAGAGTTGAGGATCTCGTAGTAAAAAACGGAAAAGTTGAGGGCAAGACCCAACCGTATAGGGTGTGTAGGCTGCATTTCCTTCTTACTTATCTCAAAAGCATCTTGGTAAGCCTTCTGAGAGTTCTCAACCGTGGCTGAAAAAAACAAAAATTTTATCTTGTGTTGATTACATTCAAAAAATATAATTCTGTCATGACAACTCTCGGATGGATTGGCATGGTAATGTACATGACAATGTTAATGTATTTGGTCTTGGCGGAATAGATCTGCTGTTGCTGCGTCAGAGCAAGTACCGAGACTTGCTACTGCCAATACATCCACAACATGCTGCTGTGAGCATGTAAGAAATATTGCTGCTGCAAATATAACATACATTAAATAACCCCCATATAGCATGCATGAATCACCTCGTAGCAGATCTATACAGGTGGAGCTGGGGAAGGTGGAGGGTTTCTGAAGCAAGCTGCAACTGCTACTGCAAGCCCTAGTCATAAATTTGAATTCTGAGCAGCGAGCTCATTGACCGATACAGGAGAGAACCAATCAGCTGTGCCATGTGATAATGATGTCATTAGGTCAGATTGAGTTTGACCTATCGGACGGCACCATCTAGAGTTTCATGCCAGAGCTTTGTATTTATGTCAAAAATAGTCAGACAGATAGATAGTAGTGATGCACTGAAATGAACTTTTTACCGAAATCAAAAGGAAAGTTATTATTTAATCAAAAACCAAAACTGAAAAGGACATATTCAGAATTCAATTTGGGTAACTGAACTCATTATACTGATCAGGGTGTAAATTTCTTTGGCAACAAGCCACTTTTCAATGTTTCAGCCTAACAAATTTTACATACTGCTACTCTAGAATCATTTTTGGTCACGCTGATATGTGTGTCCACTCCACACTGCTGACGTGTTTACCTGTTGAAGAGTATCCACGCCATGTTCACAAAATAGAAGCTAAAACAGTCAAAACGCACCTTTGGAGAAGTGCTAATTAACTTTCGATCTACGATTTTGGCTCTCTAAAAGAATTACGCCAGAATTTTCTGTTTTGGCCAAATATTTCCTAAATTTAGGTGTATCACTCATAGATGGAAATACAGATAGATAGATAAATGACAGACAGACAGACAGACAGAGAGATAGAACAATATAATAATAGATAGAATGATAGATAAATTGACAGACATGACATAACGGATTGAACGACAGACAAATAGAAATAGAACACAGTGCTTCCCACAGACCTACACTCTATTTATGGCGGCCCTTCACCCAATGGG